GTGACGCGCACCTGGCTGCGTGGGGGCGTGGACTAGCGACGGGCCCCGTTTCCATGGGAAATCGCGGATGTCCGCCACCTAACGATTTTGGGGAGGGTCGCTGATCCATGTTTGCGCGCCCCCTGTCCTTGGCTGGGGCCATCTAGAAGCAGGGCTGGACTTGAGCGCTGTTTTGCTTGGCTTCGGCTGGGTTTTGCGTGCCGCTTCGGCAGGGAGGTGTGCAGGAGTGCGGGCAGAGCAAGTCGAACAGCGAAACGAAGCATAACGCCCAGGCCCAGCCGGGTTGAGAGGCATCCTGGGAGCATCTCGCGAGCAGCACGCACGACGGCGAGCAGATGCGCGGGGTGCGGACGCCCGAGCGACGGCGGGTGCCTGGCCACGCGCAGCGAGGGGCGGTCGCTGTCGGCGATGCATCGACGAAGGATTGGCGGTGTATCGGCCACTGGAGGTCCCCCAAGAATATGCACCACGCCCACCTCCATTCCTCCCCCCCTCCTCTTCCCTCCTCTTCGTCTCCACTTCCGTGGGAGAGGGAAGGGGCGAGGGAGGTGGTGGCGGTGTATATTTTTGAGCCCCGTACCTTGGGCCTGTGCCCCCCGATCGTTGCCCCTCATTGGGGGGGGGGGAGGGCTCAGGGGGCGACGGCAGACTCGACGGGAGCTTCCTGGCTCGGCGCAGAGGTCGCCATGGGGGAAGCGGGCCCCGAGGGAGTCGGGTCTTCGGGCGTCTCCCCGTCTGGCTCACGGGGCCCTCCACGGGTCCCTGGGACGGCCAGAACGACGACTCGGGGTGAAGACGTCCCGGGGGGAGGCCCCAGGGTCCAGGATCGGAGCTCAAGAGACGGGGGTCAACGCAAACGGGGGTCAGCCAGGGCGCCGGATCCTGCAGGATCCTGCGAAGACTACCTCTGGCTGACCCGGGTTAGCGAGCCGCTCGTGGCCGCGAGGAGGCCGCGCATATTGGCTGACCCGGGTTTGCGAAGACTTGCGTTGCAGTTTTTTCCCAACCCTCCTATGGTTTGGTATTCGTTTTGAACAGAGCAGTGTGGTCGCCCCGTCCTCCTCCTCCTCCTCCTCCTCCTCCTCCTCCTCCTCCTCCTCCTCCTCCTCCTCCTCCCCTCCCCTCCCCTCCTCCTTCTCTCAAGTTTCCTGTGCTCCCTTCTCCTCTTCTCTCGTGCCGTCTGCGATCTGCGTAATTGTCGCCACTTTCGTGGGCTCCTGGGAGGCCCAGCAGAGGTACGTCCCACGCGGACCACCTCGGGACCTCGCCGCCCCCCTGGGGGGCTTGCGATCTGCGCAACTGTCGCCACTTTCGTGGGCTCCTGGGAGGCCCAGCGGGGGTACGTCCCACGCGGACCACCTCGGGACCTCGCCGCCTCCTGGGGGGCTTGCGATCTGCGCAACGGTCGCCACTTGCGTGGGCTCCTTGGAGGCCCAGCAGAGGTACGTCCCACGCGGACCACCTCGGGACCTCGCCGCCCCCTGGGGGGCTTGCGATCTGCGCAACGGTCGCCACTTTCGTGGGCTCCTGGGAGGCCCAGCGGAGGTACGTCCCACGCGGGTCACCTCGGGACCTCGCCGCCCCCTGGGGGGCTTGCGATCTGGGCAACTGTCGCCACTCTCGTGGGCTCCTGGGAGGTCCAGCAGAGGTACGTCCCACGCGGACCACCTCGGGACCTCGCCGCCCCCTGGGGGGCTTGCGATCTGCGCAACTGTCGCCACTTGCGTGGGCTCCTTGGAGGCCCAGCGGAGGTACGTCCCACGCGGACCACCTCGGGACCTCGCCGCCCCCTGGGGGGCTTGCGATCTGCGCAACGGTCGCCACTCTCGCGGGCTCCTGGGAGGCCCAGCGGAGGCACGTCCCACGCGGACCACCTCGGGACCTCGCCGCCCCCTGGGGGGCTTGCGATCTGCGCAACTGTCGCCACTTGCGTGGGCTCCTGGGAGGCCCAGCGGAGGTACGTCCCACGCGGACCACCTTGCGACCTCGCCGCCTCCTGGGGGGCTTGCGATCTGCGCAACTGTCGCCACTTTCGTGGGCTCCTGGGAGGCCCAGCGGAGGTACGTCCCACGTGGATCATTCGGAGGTACGTCATACGCGTTTCTTTCAACGCCCTTGTGTTTGCTGCGCTCTTCTGAAATCACTATTGGGTGCTCTTCTTGCGCACTGCGGGTCCTTCAGAATGCCAGTCAGCATTGAGTGGTCCTGAGTATAATCGCCACATGTATAGAAAGGGTTGGGTACGTCACAGGGTATTTTTTTCCTGCGTTGCAGTTTCTTGGTCTCCTGCTGACCCCGGTGTGGATTGACCCGGGTCAGAAGATCCCCGACAGGACCCGTTCCCCTCAGGACCCGTCTCCAGGACGCCGCCTCTCGGCCACGCGCAGAGGGTGGTGTGGGGGAGGGGAATGGGCCTCTCAGAAGCACCCCTTCTCGTTACGTAGGAGGCGCGGGCCTTCCCTGCAGATGTGGGACGGTGATCAATGGAGAGGAAGCATGTTGCCACATAATTTTCAGATGTCTAAAGCATTTTCGAAAGACATGCTTTTAACATGTCAAGAACATATTTCAAGCATGTTTATAACGCGTCCCTTGTCATGACATCCACAATTCTAACCAGCCTTCCGCCATCCAACCACCCCAGTGTGCGCACCACCAACCTCCGGCGGCTACGAAGGTCATGCCGGGGTGAGGTTTGCGATCTGCGTCGTTTGGGGCTTAGGGCCCGCGTTGACCTCTTCTGGCCTCCTCGGGGTGCGGCGGAGAACTCTGTCGAGGTCATCGCCCGCTCCCCAGAGTGCGGGTTGCAAACCACACCCTCTGCAGACCACACCCTCCGGAGTCGCCGAACCCTTCCCTCGTCACCACCGCTGGAGTCGCCTCGAAGTCTTGGTCAGAACGCACCCCGGGAGAGGTCTGTGGAGTAGCGGTATCGGTACCGTTTTGCCCCTCTAAGGGGGAGGGAATGCGGTTGACGAGCCAGACCAGACCGCTTCCGCGTGCTCCATCCATCGTCCTCGTCGCCTTTGTCGTCCGCCTCCTCCTCCTCCTCCTGCTCCTGCTTCTGCTGCTCCTCCTCCTCCACGTCCTCCTCCTCCTCCTCCTCCTTCTCGTCCTCCTCCTCCTATTTTTCTCCTCCTCCCTCCTTTTCCTCTCTCTCTTCTTCCCTCATCCTCTTTCGCCTCCTCCTCGTCGGAGCCCTGCGTCCTTGGTCGAGAGAGCCGTCACACGGTGTATCACTCCATCCGTGCTCTACTACTAATTGCCCGTTCCCCTCAACCAGCCTCGTCGCCCTCCACCTCCATCTCCATTTCCTCCTCCTCCTCCTCGTCTTCTTCCTAGTTTATATTATTCTTCGTCATCAACCTCCACTTCTTCCTCCTCTTCTGCCTCTTCCTCGTCTTCTTCTTCTTCTTCTTCTTCTTCTTCTTATTCTTTTTCTTCTTCTCCTTCTTCTTCTTCTCCGTAGCCATTTTGGCTCAGGTCATTTTGGCTCAAGCGACAGCCCTACTGCTGACGCGTTGCGGGAGGAGGAGGAGGAGGAGGAGCAGGAGGAGGAGGAGGAGGAGGAGGAGGAGCAGGAGGAGGAGGAGGAGGAGGAGGAGGAGGAGGAGGGGGAGGAGGAGGAGGAGGAGGAGAAGGAGGAGGAGGAGGAGGAAGAGGAGGAGGAGTCGTGCACGCCGCCGCAGGAACGCCGCGTGGCATGCGGCCACAGCTCCGGAAGGCAGCTTCGCTCGCGCCAGCGACGCCGCCATCGTTCAGACTGCATCGGAGCATGCAATCTATCAGGTGATGCATTCGGCTGACCACTGTGGCTTTTGGGAACTTACAGGGGGCGCCGACTTGCAGCCCAGGTGTGCGGTGTGGCATGGTGTTCCACTGTCGCGACGCTGGTGCAGAGTGTGTTTCTGCGACGCTGTCGTCGCCCCCCCCCCCCCCCCTCTTCTCCGATTCTCGCAAGTTGTTTTCCCACTGGTACCAGCGCTGGTGCCCGCGGTCCTGTCCCCCCCTCCCCCAGGCGGAAGTTTCTGTCGATTCTGGCGTTTTTTAGGGGATTGGCGGATATTTTCCAATGCATTTTCGATTGGTGTATATTTGTTTGAATTGTTTTCCCTGCAACATTTGGCCAACATATACAGACCAATCCGCCGGGGCAGATTTCGCGCCGTATTGGTGGATATTTTGAGGGCGGTTTTCTGGTCCGCGCTGTTATTGCCCGCCAGTCTTTTGGGAGCTGCGTTACACGGGGTGTCGTGCCCCGTTGCTTTCCCCGACGTATCTGTAGGATCCCGTGCGCAGTGCAGCGCGTTTCACCTTCGTTCTACCTCGCCCTGCCGTAGACAGCCTGCCCGCGCTGGCACCTTGAAAAGTGCAGATCCGCATGAATGTGGCGCGTGCATTCTTGCATTGTTTCAGCGAAACGCGTTACCGGATATACTTCACCCTCCCGTGCTGCGGGCCCCTGGCTTCTATAGATGCAGTTCCTGCCGTTCCAGTCGTTTCTCCTCGCTTGCTCTGGGCGGCAGGTGGAGTTTCTGGTGAAGAAGGTGGTCATCCCCCTTCCGCGCCGAGGGAGTCGGCCGCGGTGTTCACGCCAGGGCTGGTGGTGCACGCGGGTACCGACGTGCTGCTTCAGGAGCTGAGCGTGGAGCATCCGCAGAAATCAGTCCTCGTCGGAGTTCGACTCCCTGCAGTGCTGGAGGAATCCGAGGTCGTGTCTGCGGAGACGTGTGTACAATGCTTTCTCGTCGGGGACCATCGAGAAGCACCCTGGATCATCGAGCAAGAAAAATCGGGCGAAGAGAACTATGCACATGCACCGATCCTGACAACGTCCATCCTAAGCCCAGGATCGGTGCATATACCTTCCTGGCCAAGGTAAGAGGGCATATGCACCGATCCTGGGCTCAGGATGGGCCTGGCAAGAATCGGTGTATGTGCATAGTTCTCTTTCCTCTAAAAAATGAAACACGACACCTGAACATGCACAGGGAATGGACGTCCGAGCCACTGCAAGCTGATGAGCCCGAGGAGGCCGCAGGAGGAGGCTCCGGCGCCGCCGCCTCCCGGCCTCCGTGTGGAGGGTCTGCCCTCGGGCACCGACCCTCCGGCCGCTCTGCGCGGGCACGTGGGCGCCCGTGGGATTGCCGTGGGTCTGGACGCCCGAAATGGGTATTGAAAGAATGGGTACAATGCCCAACAGCAGTTCCTGTTCAATTTGGACAGGATTCGCTGTCCACGCCGCCGCGGCCTGTGTCCATTCGAGACAGAAGGCCGCCTGCCCAACAGCGGCCGCTGTTGGCTTTGGACAACATTTGTTGTTGGGCATAGTGCCCATTTTTTCGGTACCCATGTCGGGCGTCCAAAGGGATTGCCGTGGGATCCCGGCGAGGCCCTACTGTTCCCAGGCAGCTCTCTGAGAGCTGAGAGCAGGGGAACGAGGAATGACACAGAGATAAGAACTCGGAGGTCCGCGCGGATTCCTCGGATCCGCGCTGGACCCCCTGGCGGCGCGTCCGGCGCCGTCCAGCGCCGATCCAAAAAGTCCGCGCGGACCTCCGAGTTTTTACGTTTATGTCATTGTTCGTTCCCCTATTCGAAGTCGGCACCGCAGGCTAGCGCCGGAGCTCGTTCCCGCTTCTGGCAGGGAACGCCGCAGCAGCCTGCTTGAAGCTGCAGCGTGTGCCGGAAGGCCCTTTCTCAACTGTTTCCCAGTATGTGTGTTGCCACGCTTTCCAGAAGCTCCGTCAGAAGCTCATTCCAAGAGCTTCCAGAGCTCCTTTGAGAGGCGTTGGAAGGCCCTTTGGCGCTCCGCTATCCGGGCTTGGGACTTCACAAATTCGCCCCGCGCACCACCCCTTCCTGGTCTCCATCTTCGCCGCAAGCTGGTTCGTGGCCGTTGCCGTCCTCTCGGGGTTCTGGGCTTCCGCTTTTTCAGTTCGTTGATGACATTTCTGAGGATGGGACCGTTTGAACGAGTGCGGCCTCGGCGGGTTCGACTTCTAGCGGCTGGCGTTCTTCGCGGTGCAGCCAGCCGTATTCCCCCCTGGTGCTGCTGTGCTGCTGTACGTTGTCATAGTGATGCACGGGTCCGTCTTCGAGGCCGTCGGCACCCCAGGCCGACCTCAGGGGTGCAGCGTCGGGATCAAAACAATTCTGCTCCTTCTTCGCACCTGGACCGGAAGGCATCCGACCACAAATCGGCCCTTTGAGGGCCAAAGGCTTGGCCGTTTTGAGTCGGGCACGGGGTCGGCCTGTGTGGCGAATCTCGGCCGCGAGATCTTCGGGGCGCCTGCGCCTCCTGGCATCTCTTTCGACCGCGATACGGCCAAACCGTGTAATAAGGATGCGCGGTAAGGACGCAAGGGCGTTGGAAGGCCATGCCAGCACCTGTCGAGCCGGGCGCGGCCAGCGAAAGCGGCCACGCATGGGCCGAAGGGGAGGGACGCAAGGGCAACCTTGGAAGGTTGCTCATCCTTCCTATGCTGGTTGGTTGTGCTCCCCAGCGATACTTTGCCCCCTGTCTTCTTCTTCTTCTTGTTCTTCTTCTTGTTCTTCTTCTTCTTCTCCCCCATCATTCGTCGGGTTTGAGCAAGGCTTGACCCGAACTTTTTTCCTGTGGTGTTGGGTACTCGTTTTAAAGAGACAGCGCCCCCCGTCATCCCATTTTGGCACACCCCTCACACGGTTCGTGGCCCCACAGGGAGCTCCACCGAAGGCCCCAGAGGCAGGGTCCGCATGCGGGGAGCGCCACCCATTTTGGCACACGGCTCACGAGGATCGTGGCCCCACAGGGCGCTCCACCGAAGGCCCAGCGGCAGCGTCCGCACGCGGGGACCGCCACCCATTTCGGCACACCCCTCACGAGGTTCGTGGCCCCACAGGGAGCTCCACCGAAGGCTCCAGTGGCAGGGGCAGGGTCCGCACGCGGGGAGCGCACGGTTCGTGGCCCCACAGGGAGCTCCACCGAAGGCTCCAGTGGTAGGGTCCGCATGCGGGGAGCGCCACCCATTTTGGTACACCCCACACGGTTCGTGGCCCCACAGGGAGCTCCACCGAAGGCTCCAGCGGCAGGGTCCGCATGCGGGGACCGCCACTCATTTAGGCACACCCCCTACACGGTTCGTGGCCCCACAGCTCCACCGAAGGCTCCAGCGGCAGGGTCCGCATGCGGGGAGCGCCACCCATTTCGGCACACCCCTCACACGGTTCGTGGCCCCACAGGGAGCTCCACCGAATGCTCCAGCGGCAGGGTCCGCATGCGTCCACGCCATTCAGCCATTGCGCCAGAGTCTGCAGAGCCAGAGTTGCATTGATCCGGGGTAGCGTGCAGGATCCTGCAAAGCCTGTTTGGCCCAGGTTTGCATTGATTCGGGTCAGTGCGTCCTCGATGACTGCTCGGCGGCAAAATCCGAAGCCTCGTGGCGCTCAGCCCCAATCAGCCAAACATATGTGCGACCGAACAAAAATCGATGACCGTCAGCGTGCCCGAAACTGTGGCCGAAAACGTAGTGTGACCGCAATTGTGGCCGTCACTGAAACTCGCTTTGGTTTTGAATTATGATTCTCGGTCACAATCAGGCGCGTTCGGGAAATTTCGGGCGCCAGTTTCTGTCACACTCGGACAGATTTTCGGGCACAGTTTTGGTCACTACCCCCCCGATAGAGACGAGGCTGCGTGAGAACCCTACCCTCGCCGATCAACGATTCAGGCAACTCGATGTGCGGCGGGGGGAGGTTTCGGAGTTCGTCGAGCACTTTGCGAAATCCGAACCCTAGCCCCGCCCTCTTTCGATTCAGGAGAATCGATGGTTGGTGTGGGTAAGGTTCGGATGTCGCCACCCAAGTGCGCCCGTGCAGTCGTGCTCTTCCTCATCCCGACGGCCGTCCTTCGGAAATCAAGCTCGGCACAATCATAAACTTTCGTAGGTCCGCGCGGCGCCTCGGGCGCCGCAATTGGCGCGCTCCGCGCGCCAGGGAGGGGGATCCAGCGCCGATCCAAGGAATCCGCGCGGACCTCCGAGAACGTATGTCTGCGCATTTTGTTGCTCCTCGCGTCGTGCTCTCCCTTCTCCCGATTCGGGCCGGACGAAAGGGCAGGATAGGGAAAAGGGGGGGCATGCAGCTGGCTTCCGCCCCGCCGCCGGGCCCATTCCTGGATGCACGGGCGCCTCCCGGTGCCAGGAGGCGCCGGGAAGGCCAGCGACGGGAGCTGGTTCTCAGCCCGGCCCTCCCGCCACGCCGCCCTGAGGGCCTCCCGCCCTGCCCGAGGGATGAGCTTCCCCGAGGCGGACCTGGGCTTCTTGGTGTCCACGGAGGCGCAGGCAGCTCCCCGCGATCCGCTCCGTGCCCGTGCGTGCCTTTGGTCGGACTTTATGTGCGTGTGTGTGTATGTATATATATATATATATATATATATATATCGGGCGTGTCCCCCTACAGGAAGATTTTCGACGAAGAATAAAACATACCCCAAAAGTACTCCAAAAAGGTTAGAACGTATTAGAAAAATAGTCCCCAGACTATTTTTGGATCATTTTTTGTTTTTTTTTTGTGTATTTTTTAATCGAAAATCCCCCTGTGAGGGGACAGGCCCGACTTAAGTGTGTGTGTGTATATATGTGTGTATATATATACACACAGATTCTTTAGGCTTGCGCCACATCCGCCGACCCCTTGTATCTCGGTTTTCGTCGTGGCTCTTGCAGGAGTCTCTTGCAGGAGTCTTGGGGTCCTCTTGGAGGCCTCCCGGGGGTTTTTCTTGGGATTGTTGGAAGCCTGTCGGGAGTCATTCGAACCTTCGCGGGTGCCCGTATGGATGTCCTGGGGCCTTTCATGGGTGCATCTTAAGCCGTTGGGATGGTATCCTCGGTGCAGAAAGAGACGGATGTTGCCGTTGAGTACGAATTATTGGAGCATCCAAGGCAGAGCGAGACCACATCCATTCATCATACCATGTACATCGATGCCATTCACACTGCGAAGTCATTCTCACCTCCGTCGGTCTATGTTTTTTCCACTGCGATCCCGGCATTCACCGCAAGTGTCATGCCTAGAATGAACATAACATTTGTTCTTGCTACTGGTGATTCGACTCGCAGAGTTCCTGACCAAGTCTTTGATACTGATGAGAACCTGAAGAGGTTCACTGATAATGCACAAGTCGTACACTGGTGTGCCCAGAATGGACATTTGGATTACCCGAATTTCGTCAGGATCTCAAATGACCTTGATTATTTCACTCTTGCGATAAAAAGGGGAATGCAGCATGGGGGGCGCGCGTGTCGCCAACGAAGCAGGACGACGCGCTGATGCAGGTCAGAAATTCTGCTCCCGAGTTCAGCCAGAGGAAGTCCAAGGTGCTCGTGCTCGTCGGCTTTTCCACCGACACCTCTGCTGAAAGGATTGAAATCTTTAGCCGTTCATGAAGTCACACATGTATCAATATCCCACTCCTGGTGATCGTGCTCATTATTGGAAGGACGTCGCCTCAACAAAGTATGCTGCCTCGCCCTCGATTGTCGGTTGAGATTGTCATCGTGCTTGGGAAGCCCTGGCGCTCGGCTCTATCCTAATTGTCAAATCCAGCGGCATTGACAAGGAGCTTGTTTTTTTATTGCTCGGACGGGGGGGGGTTCCCCCCCCCCCTCCCCGTAACGGTAACGAGCGTACGGGGACGGGGGTGCGGACCCCCCTTCCGTCCAGGCAGGCATGCTGTGATGCTCACATGTGTGCTCAGGTTCGAGGTTCGAGGTTCGAGGTTCGAACCTCGGCGCAAACTCAAAATGGGTCCACGGGGCCCGACTGGGGCTCAGACGCACCAGTTTCCCGAGCCGCGTCCAGCCGCGGCGACGACGAAGGCCCTCGAGGGCCAGGATGCCTCGATCCTCGAGGTTCGAGGTTCGCATCCCTCGGCGCGAACCTTTCAACGGGTTCCGGCCTGGCCCCTCCACCTCCTTTGCCTTGCTTCTGCGCTCCCTCCAGTGCTCGTGCCCTCCACCTCCTCTCACCTCCTGGGGGGAGGGGGGAGCGAGGCAGAGGGAGGAGGAGGAGGAGGAGGATGAGGAGGACGAGGAGGACGAGGAGGTTTGGAACAGGATCGGAGGAGGAGGTGATGGGGGATCGGAGGAGGGGCATGAGCGCCACAAAGTGGCCCCGCATTTGGCGCCACGAAGTGGCCCCGCCTTTGGCGCAACCTGTGGCGCAACCATCGACGCAACCTATGGCACGCCCTGAGGGCGCAACCTAAGGCGCAACGTAAGGCGCGATTTGTGGGGCGCCCTGGGTGCGCAACCTATGGCGCAAGCTATGGCACGCCCTGGGGGCGCATCCTATGGCGCAGCTTACGGCTCAACCTATGGCGCAGGTAAGCGTACGCAAGCACAACGTGTGGTGTAACGCATCGGGCAAGCCATGGTGCAACCAGCCGGTGCACTCTCACAGTATCATTATGACTACTACCACTGTCCTCCCTCCATTCTCCCTGTGCTGGTGCAAGGGGTTGGACTGGGCGAGACCTGCACGCGGATGTGGCCGCATGTCCTTCCAGCGCTCGGCCCTCCTACCTCGCACGGCTGGTCACGCCAGCCCCCCGCATGTGTATCCAGCAAGTGGGCCCCAAGCGCTGTTGAAACTTTCGGCAACTGGCTGCGGACACGGCGGCGGCGGCGGCGACGGCGACGGCGGCATTGGCGGCGACGACGACGGCGGTGACGGCGGCGGCGGTCACCTTCACCGCCGCCGCCGCCGCTTGCCGCCGTCGGCGCCGTCGCCGTCGCCGCCGCCGTCGTCGTCCTCGTCGTCGTCGTGGTCGCCGTCGCCGCCGCCCGTGTCGCCGCCGCCGCCGCCGTCGCCCCCCCGGTCGCCGTCGCAGCTGACGGCGACGACGACGACGCACCCGCGTGCACGCTCCAGCCGTCGACCCATGTCTCAAGGGCCTTGTGCCTGTGCAGGGAGCTCCTGCATCCTGTATTCCCTAGGCTGCCGCCGCCCCGCGTGCCCCCACGGTGCGTGGTTTACACTCCGCACAAAAAAAACCGTACACAAGCTTTGTGGTGCACACATGCCATGTGGTATACACAGGCGCCACGGTTCACACTCCCATGATGTACACAGTCGCGATGGAGTGCACAGGCGCTCTGGGCTCAACAGGTCCGAGCGCTTTTTGAACCAGAAAACTAGAATCCACAAGCAGCTCACATAATGAAAGGGCCACGGTTGGGCCCCGAGCGATCTTCTGGACTTTCGCTCCGCCGGTACCTTACAGGTGTACACAAGCTTTGTGGTGTACGCTGGCATTCTGGTGCAAACACGGGGCGTTGAAACAGCAACTGTGGTGCACGCGGGCGCCGTGGTGTGCACCAACAGTGAGATGTACAAGGGCGTTGTGGTGCACCCGCTTGTCATGATGTGCTCAGTCGCCGTGGTGCACACACATACCATTTCTGCCGCAGTTGTGGTGTACAAAAGGCATCGCGGAGTACAGAGCCTGTGTAGTGTGCACAGGCACGGTCGGCTTCGACGACGACGACAGCGGCGGCGACGACGACGACGACGACGAAGCCTACCGTGCCGACAGTTGTGCTGGTAATAAGTACCAGGGCCCGTGCGAGGGCCCCGCCGCGCGTTACCGTTACCCCCAACTCGGGGCCGGACCCCCCCCCCGTCCCTCCCCCGTAACGGGCGTTACCCCCCCCCAATAAAAAAAACAAGCTCAAGCTGTTCCTTGATAGCGGGCTTCCAGTCAGCACCATTGCTGATTAGGCAGACGTTGAGAGCCTTGAAGCAACTCAGTTGGCGAAGAGAATGGGGGAACGGAACAATCGCGCGACGCCAGCGACGACATTGAAGTGTATTGGGTCGACGTGATAAAAGCCGAATCGTCGTCGTAGTGCTGACCGTGGCATGGATCAAAATGTATGATCCGCTCTCGGTTTAGTGCATATATATATATATATGTACACACGTGTGTCCATGCAGGTATGCGTGCGCGCGCGGAAAACGCGCCAGAAGGTGGATCCTTCCTCCCTCCGTGAGCGGGCCGGGGCCCGGGGCGTCCTCTCCCGGGGTCGTGGGCGCCCGGCGGACTGCTCCAGGACGGCTCCAAGAGGGATTGGACTCGCTTCGAGGTCGCCCCGAAACGCCCGCGATGACTTCAAGGCAGCCCAAGAAGCTCCCGGGACGCCCCCCAGAAGCCAGCGACGCCCCCCCCCCATAGGGCTCCAATAGGCAAGAGTCGTCCCGATCCATGGTCGAAATGTATTGCATTTATATATGGCATGATTCTAACCGCCCGCGCCGTTGTGGACATTGTTCCTGGTGGTCTTCCTACAACCCTAAATTGCTTCCATTTCCCTTGGCCGTGTGCGCTGTCTTTCTTGCGCGCCCTCGGCGTGTTGCAGGCCGCCGGTCGAAATCAGAGAGCACTGACGGAGCGCGCCAGGTCGCTCGCCCCCTTTTGCTGATGTCGCCCCTCCACATCCCTGCCAAGCCGCCGCGGGCTCCACGAGCCGATCGCGGCTGGGCCCGGCGGGCGCCGAAGGTCAGGCGGGGTGTGGTTTTGCAACGGTTCCGCTGTCAGTTTGAACAGCCCAGGCGCGATTCCGCGATTCGTGGGTTTCTACGGACCGCCTCTGGGAATCTAGCTCCGGCGAGGAATCGCAGAACTTGTTTGCGGGTCTTGTCGCGGAGGCAGTGGTTGCTCCGCGCCGCAGTCGTGGGGCATTCCGCTTCCGCCTCGCAGTCGAGCCTGTGCGTGCACGCGGCCGCTCTGTGATGTTTATTCGGTCATCCTTTTCTGAAGAGTTGCCAATCGCGCACTCCTCCGCCCACGCGTCCCTCCGGACGCTCGGCGCAGTGGTGGTGGTGGCCGCGGCGGCAGCGGCTGCGGGCCGTCGTGCGCGCTGTTCGCGCTGCCGAGTCGCCCGGGAACGAGGGAGGGATGGAGCGAAGGGCGAGCTGGGAGGGGTTGGGGAGGGATGGCGTTAAAAGGAGCCAGCGCGGAACGCGAGGAGGGAAACCTATATATATATATGTGTATATATACACATATATACATATATATATGTATATATACATATATTTAGTTAGTTATATATATACGCATGTATTTGGTTATATACAAGACTGCACTGGCGCTTCGCGCCCTGCACCTTGGTCCTTGAAGCGTGTCACGCGGGCGGGATAGCAGGAGGGCCGAGCCGACACTTTAGCGATGACTCCTTGTTGCCTTTTCCGGCATCGTCGCTACAGTAATGTTATTCGTTATCTTTCCTTTTTTTGCCCAACCATCCTGTGGTGTTGGGTCCTCGTTTTGAAGAGACGGTGGCCCGCGTCTCCTCCTCTCCTCTCCTCTGATCTCTCCTCCGCGGCTGCCGTCCGCATGCGTCCCGCACACCCATTTCGGCACACCCCTCACACGTTTCGTGGCCCCATAGGGAGCTCCACCGAAGGACTCAGTGCTGCCGTCCGCATGCGTCCCGCACACCCATTTCGGCACACCCCTCACACGTTTCGTGGCCCCATAGGGAGCTCCACCGAAGGCCCCATGGCTGCCGTCCGCATGCGTCCCGCACACCCATTTCGGCACACCCCTCACACGTTTCGTGGCCCCACAGGGAGCTCCACCGAAGGCCCCAGTGGCTGCCGTCCGCATGCGTCCCGCACACCCATTTCGGCACACCCCTCACACGTTTCGTGGCCCCACAGGGAGCTCCACCGAAGGCCCCAGTGCTGCCGTCCGCATGCGTCCCGCACACCCATTTCGGCACACCCCTCACACGTTTCGTGGCCCCACAGGGAGCTCCACCGAAGGCCCCATGGCTGCCGTCCGCATGCGTCCCGCACACCCATTTCGGCACACCCCTCACACGTTTCGTGGCCCCACAGGGAGCTCCACCGAAGGCCCCATGCATGCGTCCCGCACACCCATTTCGGCACACCCCTCACACGTTTCGCACCGCGGAAGGGAGCTCCACCGAAGGCCCCATGCTGCCGCATGCGTCCCGCACACCCATTTCGGCACACCCCTCACACGTTTCGTGGCCCCGCTCCACCGAAGGCCCCATGGCTGCCGTCCGCATGCGTCCCGCACACCCATTTCGGCACACCCCTCACACGTTTCGTGGCCCCACAGGGAGCTCCACCGAAGGCCCCATGGCTGCCGTCCGCATGCGTCCCGCACACCCATTTCGGCACACCCCTCACACGTTTCGTGGCCCCATAGGGAGCTCCACCGAAGGCCCCAGTGCTGCCGTCCGCATGCGTCCCGCACACCCATTTCGGCACACCCCTCACACGTTTCGTGGCCCCATAGGGAGCTCCACCGAAGGCCCCATGGCTGCCGTCCGCATGCGTCCCGCACACCCATTTCGGCACACCCCTCACACGTTTCGTGGCCCCACAGGGAGCTCCACCGAAGGCCCCAGTGCTGCCGTCCGCATGCGTCCCGCACACCCATTTCGGCACACCCCTCACACGTTTCGTGGCCCCATAGGGAGCTCCACCGAAGGCCCCATGGCTGCCGTCCGCATGCGTCCCGCACACCCATTTCGGCACACCCCTCACACGTTTCGTGGCCCCACAGGGAGCTCCACCGAAGGCCCCAGTGCTGCCGTCCGCATGCGTCCCGCACACCCATTTCGGCACACCCCTCACACGTTTCGTGGCCCCATAGGGAGCTCCACCGAAGGCCCCATGGCTGCCGTCCGCATGCGTCCCGCACACCCATTTCGGCACACCCCTCACACGTTTCGTGGCCCCACAGGGAGCTCCACCGAAGGCCCCAGTGCTGCCGTCCGCATGCGTCCCGCACACCCATTTCGGCACACCCCTCACACGTTTCGTGGCCCCATAGGGAGCTCCACCGAAGGCCCCATGGCTGCCGTCCGCATGCGTCCCGCACACCCATTTCGGCACACCCCTCACACGTTTCGTGGCCCCACAGGGAGCTCCACCGAAGGCCCCAGTGCTGCCGTCCGCATGCGTCCCGCACACCAGGTGTGTGGCGTGCCGACATGGGCGTCGCGGCGCGCGGGCGCTGCCGTCGGGGTTCCCAGGGAAGCCCCCTGCAGAGGCGACGCTCAGAGTCACGAGTACCGAGAGTCACGCAGACCCAAACTGTTCACAGTCGTATACATACATTTACACTGGGCGTATCCATGCACGCATTCATGCGAATAGAATCAATCGCGCGCAGATTCATTCATAATCAGACTCGCTCGCGATCCGACTCGCACGCGCTCAAGCTTTCATATTCGGACCTATCGTCTTCGTTCGTGTTGTGTACACTGCCACGCATTTCGGCACACCCCTCATACGGCTCGTGGCCCCATAGGGAGCGCCACCGAAGAAGATATTCACAATTGCGGTACTCTCAACTGCATATGGTTGGGTCCTTCGCCAGGCTTTTTTTTTTTTTTTTTCTTTTTTACATTTTCGCCATACCCTGCGCATTCCCCATCCTCCTCAGCTCTTTTTTGCGGAGGCTCCTCCTTGGATGGCCCCTGCGAGCCTCGCACAAGTTGTTTCAGGCTTTCTCAAGGCCTTCTGGAGGCCTCCTGGGCGTATTCTAGGGGCCTCTGGGGGCTTCCTCGGGCCACCCTGCCTCCAACCGCGGTCTCCCTGAACGACGGGGTCACAATCTGGAATGCTTCGGAGGGTGTCTTGGGGCCATCTTGAGCCGCCATGGGGCTCTCTGAGGGCCATCTTGGACCCGTGTTGTGCCGTTTCAGGGCTCTCTTGGACTGCTTGGAAGCCTTTTCGGATGGTTGTGGGGCGATTTTGGAGCTTCCCAGGCAGCTTCGGACGCCCAGAAGACCGCGGTCTTGGAGCGCCGGGAAGCCGAAAAGAGGAGAACCCCCAAATTCACCAACAAACCAACAGAAAATCAATGATTTTTGCCTCTTGGGGTCTTCTTGGGAGTGCTCTTGAAGGCCTCGTTGGGGCCGTCCTGGAGGCCTCTTGGGCCATCTTGAGGTCACGTCGGTCACTCTTGGGGCGCTCTTGTGCCTGCGAGCCCCTCGCGTGGGCTACCCTGCCGCCAGCACGTTCTCCTTCGTGCTGGAGGCTTTGTGTTCTGTGGCCATTGCGGGGTCTTTTCCAGCGGACGGGCGAAGAAGCTCTGCCTGCACTGCGAGGGAGAGCCTGCCAATGCGCAGGCCAAATGCCGTCATGGCAAGCTCTTGCGGGGAGTGCACCCGTACACTAGTCAAAGACTGCGACGGGGAGGCTGTTCCTCTCCCGCCAGCTGAGCAGCGGGCCGTGCTAGCCGCCCTGCAGGCTCGCTAGCTCTGGACCGTGGACCTGGGTGAGCTGCGGTGCGCCATCGGGGAGATCGCAAACAACAACATGTCTCGGGGGTCTTTGGGACGTCTCCGATGACCCCCCTGATCGCCCTAGGTGTGCTGGGAAGGCTTGGCAAAACGCCCTGCGAGGCCCGGGGGGCTTGCTTCGAGGCCCGTCCGGACGTTCCCAAAGCTCCAGCTCCCCGGAGTCCAGTTTTTTGTGGGGTCCCCCCGCCAGGGCTTATAAACGTATAGGAATATATGCATAGACATATATATATATATATGTATTTGTGTATGTATTTGGATGTGTATGTGTATTCGTATTTGTATTTGCATTTGCATTTGTAGTTGTATTTGTATATGTCTATGTATATGTTTATGTATATGTATATTTATATGTATATGTATATGTATAAGTATATGTATATGTGTATATATATGTATATAATAAAAATGAATGAGCAGACACGCTCGAAGAGAGAGGAGCAAACAGGGGAGGAGGGAAGAGCGACGCAGACGGGAAGAGGAGGGAGGAAAGAGGGGTGACAGGGGGAGGAGAGGGACGTAGCGCCACACGTGAGAAAGCAGGAGTGCGGAAACATACATAGAGGAGCGGCGAGGGAGTCGAGAGACGGCGGCAAGCTGGCCCAAGCCCGGCGCAAACCTGTGCCAACCCCAAATTGCACCTCGACATGTGCTCATCGAGTCGTTACCACTAAGTCGGGCCTGTCCACCTACAGGGGGATTTCGACGAAAAAGAACAATACCCCCAAAACAGTCCAAAGATAGTCCAAACATAGCATGGGGACTATTTGTTTGATTTTCTTTGCCATTTTGGGGTATGTTTGGAGTATTTCCTATTTTTCGTCGAACATCCCCCTGTATGGGGGACAGGCCCGACTTAACGTTACCACTGTCCCGCGCCGAGAACCTGAGCACGCTCGAAGCGCGCGCGTTTCCAGCAGATTTGTGTACAATCTGGTGCATGTATACATATCCGTAAGGGCTTCGCCCCCTGTCGCCAACCCCCTCTCTATCATACTGGGGTCTATCAGAGTCGCGTCCGTGCTTCTCGGCGCTGCCTTTGCGCATCTGGGCATATCATGCGAGGGGCGGATCGGAAACATCAACGCGTATTGGGACGTTGGCGTTCGGCGAATCCCGCCACCGTGCCTGGGTTGTGGGTTTGAGGCACCTTGTATATGTGTTGGGTGTCGTGGGGAGCTTCTCGGGAGCCACTTGGAGGCTTTTTTGGCGCTTCTTGGGGGCCTCCTGGGGCCTCGTCGGGTATCTTTTGGGCTTCTAGGAGGCCTCTTGAGCGCGTCTTGGGAGCTTTTTTGGGCCTCTTGAAGCCTCTTGGCGGCCTCTTGGGGTCTCCTGGGGGCTTCTCGGGGCACATCTAGAATGTTCGGTTCGTGGGCCGTTGCTTCGGCCCCTCTTGGGGCCGTCTTGAGTGCTTCTTGGGCCATCTTGGAGCCCTCTTGGGCCGTCTTGAGGCCCTCTCGGAGGCGTCTTGGGCTGTCTTGGGGCGGTCATGGGGGCTTCTTGGGCCGCTCTGGAGCGTCGGAAAACCGAGAATACAAGAAGGCCACAATCCTTCAACCATCTCTTGTAACATCTACGATTTTGGCCTATTGGGGCTCTCT